TTTCTTTTACTTGCTTTGGGTTTATTTAGCTTTTTTCCTTAGCTTCTTGAGAAGAAAGCTTAGATTATTAATATGAGACTTTTCCTCTTTTTTTATTGTAAGCATTTAGTGGTATAAATTTCCCTTTCAGCACCGCTTCAGCTGTGTTGCACAAATTTTGGTATGTTATATTTCAATTTCATTCAATTTAATGTATTTTCTTATTTTCCTTGAGACGTCCTTTTTGCCTAATGAATTATTTAAAAGTGTGTTGTTTTGTTTCAAAGTGTTTGGAGATTTTTCTGTTATCTCTCTGTTATTGATTTCTCATTTGATTCCGTTGTAGACAGAGACGTACTCTGTATGATTTCAGTTCTTTTAAGTTTGTTGAGGTTTGCTTTATGGCCCAGGATATATTCTATCTTAGTCTATGTTCTATAGGCACTTGAGAAAAAAATGTGTATTCTCCTCTTGTTGGGTGGAGTATATTTTAAATGTTGTCTAGATTCTGTTGATTGATGGTGTTTTTGAGTTCTTCTATGTCCTTGATAACTTTATGTATAGTTTCCATCAATTGCTGAGAGAGGGATGTTGAAGTCTCTGACTACCATTGTTAATTTGTCAGTTTCTCCTTTCAGATCTATCAGTTTTACTTCATGTATTTTTCAGCTCTGTTGCTTGGTACACACACATTTAGGATTGCTCCATCTGGTTGGTGCGTTGAAGCTTTTATCATATAATGTTCCTTTCTTTCACTGGTAATTTTCTTTGTTCTGAAGTCTATTTTATCTGATAAATATAGCTCTAGCCTTCCACTCTAGCTTTCCTTTGATAATGTTTGTGTGACATATCCATTTCTATCCTTTTACTTTCAACATGCCTATATCATTATATTTGAGATGAGAGTCTTGTAGACAGTATATAGATGGGTCATATTTTTCAAACCAATCTGCCAATTTCTTTTAATTGGTATCGTTTAAAAAATTTAATGTAAGTATTTATATGTTAGGGCTAACTCTGCCATTTTATTATTTGCTTTCTGTTTGTTTCGTTTTTTCTTCTGTTTTTTTTTTTTCCTGCCTTCCTTTGGGTTACTTGGAAATTTTTTAGAATTATCTATAGTGCTTTGATTCATCAATAGTGTCACTTGAACACTTGTAGAATTTCATTTTGATTCATCTGTAGTGTCTTTGAATATATTCATAGTATTAATTTTTCTATGGTGTTTTGTGTAGCATTTTTAGTGATTGCTCTGGGTATTACATTATATATACATAATATATTACAGTCTACTGGTGTTGTCATTTTACCAGTTCAAGTGAAGCATAGAAACCTTACCTCTCTTTATGTCCCTTTACCGTCTCGCATTTACAATACACTTGTCCTAAATATGTCCTCTGCATACATTAGGAACCACATCAGACAGTGTTATAGTTTTTGTTTCCACCATCAAACATAATTTAGAAACTCAAGAGAAGGAAAGGCTATTATACCCATATTTTTGCTTGCTGTGTTCTTTCTTCTTGATGTTCCAAGGTTCCTTCTTTTATTATTTCCTTTCCATTTAGTGGAACTTCCTATTGCCATTCTTTTAGGGTATGTCTGCTGGTGACAGACTCGTTTAGTTTTCCTTTATCTGAAAATGTCTTGATTTCTTCTTCATTCCTGAAGAATATTTTCACTAGGTAGAGGATTCCAGGTTGACAGTTCTTTTCTTTCAGCACTTAAAAAATGTTATGCCACTTCCTTCTGGCTTCCATATTTTCTGATAAGAAATCTGCTTTCTTCCTAGTTGTTTTGCTCCTATAAATAATGTATCATTTTTTCTGGCTGCTTTCATTTGTCTTCAGTTTTCAAAAGTTTAATTATGTGTCTTGATATGGATTTATCTTGTTTGGGATTCACTCAGCTTCTTGAATCTGCAGGTTTATGTCTCTTGCCAAACTCACAAAGTTTTCAGCTATTATTTCTGCAAGTACTTTTTCATCCCTGCCTTCTTTATCCTCTCCTTCCACGACTCCAATGACCTAAATATCAGATCTTTTGTTATTGTCCCACAGTTCCCTAAGGTTCTGTTCCTTTCTTTAAGTCTGTTTTATCTCCATTGTTCAGATTGGGTGATTTCTATTGTTCTGTCTTCCACTTCAGTGATTATTGCTTCATTCTGCCTTCCATTCTGCTGTTGAGCCCATCCACTGAGCTTTTTATTTCAGTTTATTGTATTTTTAGTTCTAAAATTTCTATTTTATTCTTCTTTGGATTTTCTATTTCTTTGAGGCTTTCTATTTTTTCATTTTTTTCAAGTATGTTCATAATTGTTCATTGAAGCATTTTTATGATGGCTGCTTTAAAATATTTTTCAGATAATTCTAATATTTCTCTCATTAAAGTGTTGTCATCTACTGATTGTTTCATTTTTTATTCAGTTTGAGATCTTCCTGGTTATTGATTTGATGAGTACTTTTCAATTGAAATTTGGACATTTTTATATTATATTATTAAACTCAGGCTTTTCTTTAGACCTTCTGTTTTATCTGATTTTCCAAGAAGGGAAAGTGAGGATGCCACCTGTTACTGCTAGGTGGAGATAGAAGTCACTCAGCCTCCACCAGCATCCAAGGGGGGCATGGCTCCTTGTTACTGCTGGGTGAGGGTAGCCCTATATGGTATCCCATGGTGGGGGTGGTCTTGTTACTGCTGAGTGACGGTGAAAGCCCTGACTTTCATTAGATCTCTTCTGACAATATTTCAGCATGGATGGGAGGGGGCCTCGTTACTGCTGGGTGGTGGTGGAAGTCCAGGCTCACCATGTTGTCTCCACTGACACTGTTAGTGGAGATCTAACTACTGGTCAGTGGGGATGAAAGTCCTGGCTCCCTACTTAGACCTCCCAGGCAGAGAGATTGGGACATCCCATCACAGACTCACATGGGGGTCAATCTATTCCCCACTCAGCCTTTGCTGGCATTGGGGTGGGGGGGTGCCGCAGTTTTTTCTGTGATGTTTGGCTGGAGTCAGGCAGTTACTATCTAAAAGTTTCCTGTCACTAGGCGGTCCCTTTCTTGGTCCTTTGGCTACAGAGAGCAGGCTTTTGTTGGGATGTTTTGTCTGTACCTGTTGACATTGCCGGGTTGCCAGTTTCTTCCTCTTCGAGTCTGGGCTACATGAAGCAAAAAGAAATTCCAGGGAACTCACTACTGTCTCGTTCTCTGGATTTTGAGATCCCTGGCGAGTCTGCCTTTCCACCTTTTAGAATCTTCTTATGTTTATTTTTATAATGTCTGGGGTTTTTAGTTGTACTTAATGGAGGGAATAGGAAAAGTACATTCAGTCCATCTTCTAAGAGGCAGAAGTCCAACTGATTTTTGACAAAGGTGAAAAGGCAATTCTGTATAGAAAGGATAGTCTTTTCAACAAATGATGTTAGAATAATTGAATATCCAAAAAAGTGTTAAGTGAAAGAAATAAGTTGCACAAAATATTATATATGCCAAATCTATTTTTCAAAAGAGAAAAAAACTTAGGATTTATATGTAATTATGTTTGTATAAGTGATTGTATGTGTGTATTTGGTTATATAGAGAGAGAGCCTAGAAGAATACACATCAAATTGTATATTTAAAAAACAGGTTTGGGGGCCAACCCAGTGGCGTAGTGCTTAAGTTCGTGTACTCCGCTTTGGCAGCCCAGGGGTTTGCTGTTTCAGATCCTGGGCGCAGACCTACATACCACTCATCAAGCCATGCTGTGGAAGCATCCCACATACAAAATAGAGGAAGATTGGCACAGATATTAACTCAGGGACGATCTTTCTCAAGCTAAAAGAGGAAGACTGGCAACAGATGTAAAAAAAACAAGTTCAGGCGCCAGCCCTGTGGCCTAGTGGTTGGGTTTGACGTGCTCTGCTTTGGCAGCCCAGGTTCGGTTCCTGGATACAGATCTTCACCACTCATCGGCAGCCAAGCTTTGGCAGCAACCCACATACAAAATAGAGGAAGATTGGCACAGATGTTTGCTTAGGGTGAATCTTACTCAAGCAACAAGAGGAAGATTGCAACAGATGTTAGCTCAGTGCCAGCAAAAACCAAAACAAAACAAAACAAAAGTTCAAAAATAGTATGTATCCTCTCATTCCAGAAAACCGATGACATAAATATTAGATCTGTTGTTATTGTCCCATGATCCTACATCATGATCCTAGGATACTTTGATCCCAATTTTGTTTGAAAAAGAAATTTAAACAAACTACCTGATTTTATTGTTTTGTTTCTTAAGGACTGGAATGGTACCCACCACATTGTTGACATTGATTTGCTGTAGGAATTAGAAGTAGAATACTTGAATTTTTTACTTAATGTACTTCGTAGTAGTTGAAATTTTTATAAAAAGCATATAATACTTTTATGAGGTTTTTAATAAATAAAAGTGGTCAATGGACCTTGAGAGCATTATGCTAAGTGAAATAAGTCAGACAGAGAAAGACAGTACTGTATGATCTCATTTATATGTGGAATCAAAAAAAAAGTCAAGCTCATAAATACAGAGAACAGATTGGTGGTTGCCAGAGGTGGAGAAAATGGGTGAAGGGGGGCCAAAAGGTACAAACTTCTAGTTATGAAATAAATAAGTCCTGGGGATGTAGTGTACAGCATAGTGGCTATAGTTAATAATACTGTATTGTATACTTGAAAGTTGCTAAGAGAGTAGATCTTAAAAGTCTTCATCACAAGAAGAAAATTTTTTTTGTAACTATGTATGATGACAGATGTTAACTAGACTTATTGTGGTGATCATTTCACAATATATACAAATATCGAATCATTATGTTGTACATCTGAAACTAACATAATGTTACATGTCAATTATACCTCAATAAAAAATAAATCTTGAAATTGTTATAATAAAAGTACAATATCCTGACCAATCAAATTCACCAACCCACAACCAAAATCAGGAAATGTATACAAACTATATTAGTATATAAACTTATGACGACCTGATTCTTTCTCCTCAACACACAGGAATAAATGAAGAAGAGGAGAAGAAAAAAGCGAAAAGCAAAGAGAAAATCAAGTTGAAAAAGAAGAGGAAAAGGTAGTATTTTTTTAGCATTATCTTCTCAAAAAGGAGGACTGTGTATCCAGTACAAATTATAAAATTTTATTTTTCATGTATAATCCCATTAATTTAACATTAATTTTTTTCTTAATGGCAGTTAGATATTCAGTTGTTTCAGTAAAATAACAAAGTCCTTCATGTCAGGAATTAAAAATAAAGTCAACACTCAGCCATCTTAAATTTTCTTTTTGGAGCAAATCAAGGTACAAATAAATAACATCCCTCCCCCCTTCTTTCGTGTATTCTATTTGTATTCTAGAATTTTAAGTTTTAGAACATCAGCTAAGCTTTTAATTGGACATATGTCTAAATTCTTCACATATATATTCTGTCCTCATATATATGAAGTTGACACTTCAATATTTATATTCTCAAAATATCATTGCCATGGCTGAGAAATTAATTTATTAATAGGATTTATGTTCTCACTTGTCTTGCTAAAAATTCCTTCAGGTCTTTCAGAACCCTCATTAGTCACCTGTGAGTGACTGTCAACTCTTTTTACTGTCAACTCTTTTAACAACTAACTGGTTAAACAAATTAATCAAAAATGAAGAGGCAACTTCTTTCCATGGTTAATGAGTGCAGTTTCGTTTATACTAGAATAAACATATACATAGTGACATTTTTTAAGGCACTTGGCAATAGTCATGTCTGGCTTGGACCCTAGTTCTCTGACAGAGTAGGTTCTGTAAATCAGGTGTTGTCGCTTTGTAGTTTTTATAGAGCATTTAAAATATACATTTTAACATTTAATTTTATAAATTAGAAAAGTTAGCTCACTTTCGAGCGTTGAGAGTTAAATAATAATAGGAAGTGTAGCCCAGTGTGCTGTGTAGTCTAACTCGTGTATTGTTGAATCATTTGCTTTAGCACAACAAAGTAGATTGCTTATAGGAAAAGTGAGATTATCTATTTTCTTCCAAATTCTAATATGCTTATTTTACAGTAACAGATTATTTAGTCAAGCCTCTCTGCCTTGGGCCTCACAGACCTCACCTCAGACAGGGCCTGAAATTAAATGAACTTTTCTGGGCACACTTAGCAAAGATAATGCCACCTAATAGAGTTGTTGTGCCAAAGTCTAATATTTGCCCTAAAAATGAGAATCCAGGACCAAAAAGGCAAGGAAAAATGTGCAGGCAGAGAGGAAGCTCTAGTCAGATTCCAGAGGTCAAGCAGGGTCTTTAAAACAGGAAAACAGACAAGAGTTGAGAATAAGAGAGTTGAAGAGAGAGCAGGAGAACATATGAGGAAATAAGTTCAGGAAATGGCCAGAAGTCTAGGAAGTAGACAAGGAAGAGAAAGGAAGACAACATTGTAGAAACGGGGAAAACTCGGAGTCCCTGGGGGAGGAAGGCAGTCAGGCACCTCACGGGAGCCGCTCTGCGCACACAATCTGGTAGTCTCGTGCGTTTTTCCCCTCCCACGTGTCTGTCAGGTCTCTCAGTGTGGACTTTAACTTCTAATGTTTAGATCACTGAACACTCTCTTAAGATGCCTTTTTTATTTTAAATTAATTCCGTTTCTGTCTTGTCACACGTATTTGGGGTTTGGGTGTAGGTAAATTGTTGCACACCTCTTCATGTAAAATCTTAAGAGATGGCTTTTTCTGGTTTTTGTTATTTCTTTTTTTTTCTTTTTAATATTAGAGGAAGCAATTCTACAGCTTTTTTCCAGTTTAGTGTTAGAGTAATATTAGAAAAACAAAGTATAATAATAAATCATCCTCATTTATATAGAGTATTCATTCAAAACCGTCTTTTCTGTAACTAGTAAGAATTATTTTGGAAATGTTCGTCTGTATTACTCTGCATCTAGAGGAGTCAAGTACTTTAACTTGACAAATCAAAAGAATTAACAAAAGTGCTTTTATTTTGCTAATTTTCAGCTTTCATCCATTTATCCTGAGGTACAATTATAGCCCTTTGCATAGAATTGCATCCTTTTGTGGTTCTTTTAAGAGAATATGCTAACAAGTTATTACATACACAAGTGAATTGTGTATATAATGAGGCTTGGTAAATGCCACTTTGTTTGCCTTATAAGATTTTGAAGAGTACAACAGGAAGAAAAACTGAAAATCACAGAAAAATCATTTTATCCTTACTGAATTTAAAACTCATTACTAGAGTTGAACAGAATAGAGGTATTTGTTTTGCCAGTTTCTGTGAAAAAGTAGCAAAAATTCTGAATTCAGCATTTTAAGAGAATACAAATATATAAAGCACATTTTGAGTTTTTTTTGTTTATACCCCCACCTTGCTCCAAGAAGGATTTAAGGCAGTTCAAATCCCATTTAAATTTACCTATCAGCTGTAAACACAATTATCAGTCAGTATGTATTATTGCCCATAGGTCTTATTCATCCAGTTCCACTGAAGAGGACACTTCAAAACAAAAGAAACAAAAATCTCAGAAGAAAGAAAAGAAAAAAGAAAAAAAGAATAAATCAAAAAAGGGGAAACATCACAAAAAGGAAAAAAAGAAGAGAAAAAAGGAAAAGCATTCTTCCATCTCCAATAGTTCTGAAATCTCCAAAAAGTAACTGAGACTTTGGCCTAAGCCATTAAAATATAAATTTTGGTTTTGAAAATTATTTGACCTTCCTTGGAATCTGCTATATAATTATGCTTTGCAATAAATCACAACCTTTTCCATATAGACATTTTTTTCATGTATAGGACCATTATCCTCTGGCAATATATTTCTAATGTGCTATGACTATAAAGTATTGAATCAGTCTTATTACTTGATTGCCATGCCCCAAGTATGGATATTTGTATATACAAAACATATCATTTTTGGTATTCGTATCTCTATGTGTCTGACTAGTGTTATTCATAAGTTGATTGTAAATGGCTTTACTACAGTCAACACGGGTAATCTACCCAGCCATTAATGAGTGTTGCTGAATCAAGTGTCCACCTTCCAGTGTAAAGTGAGGTAGGGGATAATGGTTTGCTCTTAACACTGAAAACTTTTATCCTATGATAATGTATAAAGATAGTGAAATTCTTCACTGTTGTTTTAAAATCTCTAGCCGTATTTTGGATGTCTTAGGAGATGAGGCTGCTTTATTGGTCTTGACTAGGACTTTTTAAATGAACGGTGTCGGGAGGAAGATGATGAAAATATTTCTAACAGTTTCACTGTTTTATGAAATGCAGAGTTTCTAGTACCTGCCTCCTTTGTTTTTATAACAATTAAAATAATTCTTCATTTTTTAAAAAGACAAGTCTAGTTCAGCCTATTAGTAAATCTTGTAAAGATGATGCTGTTTTGGGCAGGATTTTTAGGATAGACTCCTGGGTTGTTTTACAAATGTGCCATATTGGCATATCTTCAAGTGATACCTCAAACACAGAACTTTTTATTTAGGAGGGTGACAGCTAAATCTTCATTAGAACTGATTTTTATTGTATTCAGTATGTAAATTTTATGAAGCTTGTTTCTATGAGTAATGTGGAAAATTTTTATAAATGTTAACAAATATATTTATTTGTCTGAAATAACTTGTAGTTTTGAAGCAGGTTTCACACTGACTTTATAGTTTCATCAATGACCAGTTTGGGGTGTTTTTCTCTTTTACTTCAGTCATAAACCTTAGGAGCAGTGACAAAAATTTAGGATTAGGAATTTTATTCTGTACTTTTTAAAATTTAAGAGTTGCATCATGAAAGCTTTTATATAACAATGGAAACTTTATATGAGTAAGCATTTTCAAACACATATTATGTAGATATAAATGTTTCTTACATTTTTAATTTCACAATGATCAGTGTTACGCTTAACGCTTGGGTATCCCCTATGCCCAATAAGTTAAATACTTACTTCTGTAGCAGCATCGAAAGTCAATCAGTTATCATGGCACACCACCAAAGATTGCAAGTACCTCACTGTGGTGCAGTTATAAATTTTCAAATTGAGAACCCCCACAGACATGGCTGCAGGTGAATTCATTATGGTGGAATCAGGTAAGTAACCTCACATGTAACGTCACAGGCTAGAAAGCTGTACTGATTCTTCCTTCACTCAGCACCCTGCCTGGCATGGCCTCAGTAAGACTGGGGGAGCCTCGTAACTCCTCTTGACCTACGTTCACCATGCTCAAAGTCTAGGGAAGCTGCACCCACACTGCTATTCAAGCATCATGGCCATGGAAGCTCTCACTCACACTTCTAGCTTTTTTATAACCTAATTTAGTTGTCTGGCCTGCTCAAAAGGAAATTCTCTTGTTTAAATAGTTCAGTCGGTTGTTTGGAGACAAACACAGAGCTGTTAGGTTTTTAAGGGTTTGTTTTGCCTTTGCTGTATTTTATATATTTTTGAAAATTATACTTTATGAAAATACAGTTCTTTAGTTATCAAGCTGGAAAAAATAAGTAAAAAAAAAAAAAAAACCTTTGGAAAATGCTGCATGCAAAAGAATAGCCTTATCCCACTGAATGTGTAACATGGTTAAAAATAATAATAATTGTAGTGAAACAGAGTTAATCCAATTATTTGTAAGTTTTATTTCTGTTAATTGTAGAGATTATAAATTGACTCATTAGCTTTATTTCCTGAATGGTGACACGATTAATAATGGTTCAGAAGGGTTATATAAAATTCAGCCTTCCATAACTAGTAATATAGTATGCAAATTAAAAGGTTTTAATACTCAGTCATTTTTTTCTCAAAGAAACAACCTTGGAATGATTCTTAAGTAAATTTCTCATAATATGAGAATAGTTTATGAAATATCTCAGCTGAATAAAAGTCATTTATTTTTATTAAAATAATTTTCTTCTCAAGTGATCTTGTTATTATTATTGGGATTGGATGCAAAGCTCACTAATGTATTTTAGGAGAAAATTGGTGAAATTTCCTGTCAGGTTGTATGTAGCAGAAAGAAAACTGAATTTAATGATAAAAATCACCCCAGAAAAGGAACTAAGTGAAACAGAAATGAGCAACCTACCCAACAGAGAGTTCACACAAAGAGTGTTAAGGATGCTCACTGATCTGGGGAGAAGAATAGATGAGCTCAATGAGAATGTCAACAAAGAAATGGAAGATATAAAAAAGAACCAATCAGAAATGAAGAATTCAATACTGGAAATGAAAAATTCACTAGAGGGACTCAAAAGCAGAGTAGAGGATACAGAAGAACAGATCTGTGAGCTGGATGAAAGACTAGAAGAAATTACCCAA